GAACTGGCAGACAGGCTGTAGCCGGCGGAACGAATGGTGCTTCGTGTAGGGACTCTCGCATTTGGACTGAGAAGTTGGACCTACAGCTTGCCGAATTCTCGGCCGTCAGCGTCGCGGTGATCAGCGCTGCCGTCTCCTACCGCAATCAGTGGGAGTTGCTCATGCAGCAGGCCCCCGATGCACGGCCGGAGCTCGCCGAAGACGCCGTCCAGGATGCAGGAGTGCCCGCTCGGAGCGGAAACAATTTCGAAATCCATCGCACGCGGGCCCCAGGTGACCTCGTAGCCGCCCGTCCCCGGGAAGGCGAGGCGCCTGTGGTTCACGCCTGTCTCCACCACCCCGTCGCTTGACTGCATGGATTGCAAGCCCACCAGGGCAGGGAGAACGTCGCCCGCGCCCTCCACGGCCAGAACGCGCACGCTGCGCTGAGAGGTCACACCATCGCGCGACGTTGCGGCGATGGGGCAGTGGATTTTCCAGCTCGCCACTCGTGACCCATTGCCCGCTCCTGCCGCGCATTGTGGAGCGGACAACCTCTCCACCGAGGGTCGAAGCTTCGCCCGCGTGGCCTGCCGGGCCAAATTCTGGGCAAATCGCATACCCCAGCGGTTCGAGGACGGGGGTTCAAGATGATCCTAGAGGCACGCCAAAGCCAGGCCTCCGCGGGCAGGCCCCCGCCTCGAGGGGTCGCGCGGGGCCCCGCCGCTGCCGACGCACGCAGCTACATGGCCCCGCCAGAACGCAACCGTCCAAAACGTACTCGCGCGGAGCCGCCACCACGGCCCCAGTCGCACAAGTCGCCTGCGGCGCGCTCGGCCGCCCGGCCCGAGGCGGGCGCCTCACTCGCGGCGGCCGCCCTCTCCTCGACGATCGCGCCGAAGGGCTGCACGTGGACTCTGCATCATCTCGACGAGCACGTGCCACTTCAGGTCCGCGGCCGCCACGCGAATCCTGAGTGCTCGTCGAAGTCCGTCGCTGTCTCGTCGCTGACTTCGCCCGCCCCCCGATTATCCTCGCTCGGGAGCCCATTCAGGCTCAGAATGATCTTGCGAGAGCCCCGCTCCACCGAGAGCCCGGCAGAAGAGATCACCCACGGCCACTGGGTCGACACGGCCCCGGGCACCCCGCGGGCTTCCCCCACGCAGTCCGCCAACCCCGCCACCCCAATGCTCGCCCTCTGGCGGAGCCCCCCTGGCCTCAAGAACAGCTTCGAGCAGAGGATCGCGCCGAGGAGCTCCAGCGCCGCGATGACCCAATTCGGCGCGTCTGCCTCGGCCACGCCCACGGAAGCCAGGCCTCTCCACCTCCAGCGCGCACCAGCGGGCCACATCGGGCGCCGCCGCCCAGCAGCGCCCTGCCTCTGCCTTCGCGCCCGAGCGGAAATGCCCAGCACTTACGGTCTTGGACTTGACGGGCGCCCCCAGCCCAGGGCGAGGAGACCCTCTTCTTGCCCGCACTTTCGACGCCGGCGATCCAGGCGCACGCGGGCCCCACGAGCGGCCTCTCCCAGACGAGGACCATCGCGGCGAAGCCCAGGCGTCCCAAGCCCAACGCCATCTCGCCCGCGCAGATGGCGCCGCGCTCGACCGCCCCCCGGCACCAGGCTGCCACGGCTGGGGCGGTCGCCTGCTCTGGTCGCGCCCTGGGCCGCGCGGCGGCCAGCTCTCCCCCGCCAGCGCGCGGGCGCGGCGCGCGCCCCGAAGGGTTGCTTGGAGCCCCGCCGCTGCTGGCGCTCTCCTCCGCGCTCTCCCCCCGCCAGCGCACGGGTGCGGCTCCGGTTCCGAAGGGTCGCGTGGAGCCCCGCCGCTGCCTCCCGCTGGTGAATTCTCGCTGGACGCTCCGCGAAGCTCGAAGAGTCCTTCGAATCCTCGCCCCCGCTCTCGGAGGCTACCACCGCCACCTCATTCGCGATGTAGCACTAGCACTTTTGGCAGATCATGTCATACTCCACCACAGCTGGGATCTCGTCGAAGTATGCCGAGCCCAGTGACGACCTGCAGGAATCCGCCGACCTCGTGGAGGCTGGCCACCTTGCGCCTCTTCGTTCACAAACAAGACGCGGCACTGGCGGGTCTCCTCGAAGTCCGCGTTCCCAAGCGGGGGCAGTGTCCGCACCCTTTGCCGACCACATGCCCAGGTAGTCGCGCTCGCCCATCGGGCCCCCCATCGCCGCCAAGACCGGTGAGATTGTCGCTCGCTCCGAGTGCTCCGCCCAGAAGCCCACTACCTCCTCGGCGAGGAGGGGCTCTGCGATCTCGCCCGCCACGGCCAGCGCCAGCATTCTCCAGAGCACATCTCCCGGCCCGCCGCCGCCGCTTCGGCGCGCCCGGCGGGCTCGCGGACCACCTCCTGGCCGGCGTCGTCGCATCACGGCAAGACGTAAACCCTCTCTAAGTCCGCGATGCCCTGCCACAGGCGGAAGCCCGTCTCCATGCACGGCGAGCCACGCACGCAACACTCGCGGGAGACCACCAGCGGCAACGCCGGGATCATGCGCCCTGCCACGCTGGTCTTCGCACGCGCCAGCGTAGTCGTCAGGCCGCCGCCCACGAAGGCGAGGCGCCGAGGTGGGAGCCAGCCGCGGTCGTCGCAGCGCAACACCGCCCAGACTTTGACGAGGCGAGGCCACGACACCGCGCGCAGGTACTTCGCGAGGCCCTCGCGCGCAACCAGCTGCTGCAGAATGCACTGTCGAATCGCGCCGCCCTCATCGGCGGACCCTTGGCAACGCCGAGGAGCATCTCCGTGTTCGCGACGACCTGTTGGACCTCCAGCCGAGCGGACAGCCTAGCGATCGGGTCGGAGCCCGCCGCGCGCTCCCTCCAGGCCAAGGCACGGAGGGCCTGGTTGGGCACCGCCGGCCCACAGGACTCGGCAGGCCTTGGGTGCACGTAGTCGATGACCTACGCGACCGTCTTCGGCCACGGGATGCTGCGCGCGCGCAGGAGCCATTGGCCCAGCGTCGCGCCCGCGCGCACGAACGATCTCACCGCGCTGAGATGCGCGCGGCCCGGGATGCCATCCAGCGCACGCCCCAGCTCCATGCAGGACTGCGCCACCTCCAACGACGGCGCTTCCATCTCGATGAGGAGCTGGAGCAGGCGCGGCCTCATGCGCGCCCGCTTTGGGGTCTCCAGCTCGCCGCGGCTCTCCTTGGCAGCGGGCGGTACGTCCGCGCGCAGCAGGTTCCCGCCAGCTCGCGGGCCCCTGGCGGCGAAACGGCCTCGCGCCACTACAGCTCGCACATGGCCAAGAGGCTCACCGCTAAGGCGTCCCCCAGCACGGCTTGTTTGGGGAGGCCGTGGAGCGCCCGCAGCCGCTTCTGTAGCGGTTCCTCGGCCACCACCTGGTCGACGAACTGCCTGAACGGAACCCGTACATCCTCCACGCTGAAGCCTGCGGCCACCGCCACCTGTCCGAGCGCCTCCTCGAACTCGAGCTCGCTTGTCTGCACCACCAAGCGCGAGCCGAGGAGGCCACATCTACGCAGCACCTCGCTGCCCCGCCGCCGCGCGGCGTCGAGGGCGCACGGCCCCAGGGCCAGCATATGCGCCCAACCGTTGCTCAAAATCGACCGAGCGCCTGAGACAAAATGGCAACAGACGCCAGGAAGTTGAGGAGGATACACTCACGTGATGGTACACAGGGGCTTCTGTGCATTGGCTACCCTGCCTTGTAATGGTAACGGCGTGACGTCGAGACACCTGGACAGCGTGACGCAGTGACGGCACGCATGCCATCAAAGGCACAAGGCAGGCCATTCAGGGACCACTAGTGCTCCTTGGGATATGGCGACCGCGGTATGCACAATGGGTGAGACGGGTCGGGAGGCTTGTTCTTAAAAATTAACAGTCGCTCGCTGCTGATGTATAGGACATGGCCATGTGTTCGGCACTAGTTTGTTGAGTTATAGTATATGATGTTCGGGAACGTGATTTCCGAATAGATACCACCCTTGTGTAACTCATGATGTGGTGTTACGTTATGTTGTACTGGACTCTTTCAGCTGAGCAATGCAAGGTCGGTTCATGTTATGGTATCGCGGTTTCCACAAGCTGCGTGCATTCTGTTATGCAAATATGCCCTGTCTAGTACGATCATGTCGTGAATATACGACTATGCTCTACTCGAGTATGGTATGCTGTGTACTGTGTACTCTCGCATGTACGACTCCATGATATATGATGTGACCATAGTGTGATAGATCGGTTCGATTATCTTCGATCATGCTACAATCAAGTGTGCTCTGTTCTGGCTTTAGCAGTCGTTACAGCAGGTGGTGAAAGTACTAGTGAAACGCAGTAGTGGTAGTCGCAGTCGTAGTAGTAGCCGCGGTGTGCAGGGTTGGCGGACGCAGGAAAAGGCGAGGCGGGGGGCGGGATACTCCGGACAATGGGCGGACCTGGGGATATGGCGGCCGCGGTATACAGGGTGGACGGTCCTAGGAAAAGGCGTGGCGGGAGGCTGTAGACTCGGGACACTGAGTGGACCTGGGGATCTGGCAGCCGCGGTGTACGGGGTGCGAGGGTCGGGCGCTCTGTCATTCAAAAACATGTTGGGCGGGAAATCTAGAAACCCAACCTGTCGGATGCGGTGGAGAACTAACGCAAACAAGACTGGACAGATGTCACGAACTTTCTGCCATCGTTGCGCCTTCCCTGCTGCACAAGTGTCAAGTCATCTGCAAGAACTGTCCCCCTGTTACCTCTTCGTTTGCCCTCATCCTTGGTTTCTCCTCTCTATTCCACCATCTCCTCCTCCCACCCTACTCCATTCCCGAACACATTATCCACATGCCCGGTCGCGCCCACTATTCCGTCCCTCCCTTCCTCCCTCCCTCCCTCTCCATATCCCCCTTCCTAGGCCGCCCTCCCTCCCTTTCTCCCTCCTTCGTCATCTTCCATCCATCCTGCATCCCTGCCCGTCGCTACTCCTACCATAGCAGATGCCCATTCCTGTCTCGGCCCTGCTCCTTCCTCCCTCCTCCCCAACATCAAGACCTCAAGCTGGCTCCAACTTGCAGGCGCCCTTCTCAAACTGATCTTCTTCGCCCGAGCCACCGCAAACGGCTAACAGGGGCTCGTGCAAAGCTCAAGCAGGCTCTGCTGATGGCTGCGGGCACGGGAGGCGTGGAATAGAAGGGAAGGAACAATAAAACAGCAGCGGGGGGAGAAGGGAAGAGGGAGAAGGGTGAGCAGGAAGGAAGATGGGGGAGCGGCGAACATGGGGAGAAGACGTGCCTGCTTTAGGCATTGCAGCGTTCCCTGTGGCCGCATGACTCCAGCACAAAACTAACATCCCATGTAGAAACTATAAAATTAAGATCGCTCCCCAAGAACATGACATGTGGAAATGTGTGCCTAATATCATCATCGTCAGCAGCAGCATGATCACCATCATCGGCATAACCGTCACCACCACTATCATCAGCGCCACCCTCGTCACCATCACAATCGTCGTCTTCATCATCATCATCATCATCATCATCATCATCATCATCATCATCAGCAGCAGCAGCAGCATCAGCACCATCAGCACCATCAGCACCATCAGCGGCATCATCCTCATCTTCATCATCACCATCATCATCTTGATTGTTGTTACTGATATCACCATCAGCGCCCCTACCATCGATATCCGCGATCGCCCCTCACTTCCATTGACTCCCCCTCTCCTCACTCTTGCAAACCTTTCCCTGCGCGAGCTCTTCCTCGCAGCCCTGACCAACAGCAGCATCGACCACGTCACCACCATCCCGGGGCCCCAACATTCGAAACAGAACCCCAAGGTAGACATGGATAGCGTGCTTCTCCACCAGGGCAGACGCCTTCCATGCTGGAAGCATGGCACGCGTCTAGAGAGCGCAAAATGCCGCACTCCCAGCGCCTCAGCACGCAGTGGGGGGCGCGGACCTGGCGTGTGTTCCGTGGAAGGGACCGAAGGCCACGAAGTGTGATGTCTCGTGCTCGTCCTCTGCCTCCTCGCACTGTAAGCACGACAACTTCGCGCGACTGCCCCTTGGAATATGGGTTTAGTCCTCCTCCGCACGCAAAGCGAATTCGCAAGGCATAGTTTTCAACATGCTGACTCGCAAACAAGAACTTTTCTGCGTTTCCCGCCCGGATACCGCAGACCCCAAGCTGGTCCTCTGCCTTACTCCATTCTCTTATATTTCTTCCGTCGGCAGACTGGCCACAGTCAAGCCATCACCTGCGCGCCTTCGGATGCGGACGGGGGTGGCCAGCCAGCCGTTGGACACCGGGGTCTCAGGATGGCTGGCGGGGAGCGGAGTGAGAAGGGGGAGCCAACCAACACGTCCGTGAGACACCAAAGATTCGTCCCCTGCCTTGCAACTTTATGTCCCTCTCCTTTCCACTGGCAGACCGGACACAGTCGCACCACACCGCGGGGAACACCGATGGACCATGCTGAAGAAATTAACTGGATATCTATGGACAACCGTAGCTTGCCCCAGAGCTCGTCGTCGAAGACCTCGCAGGAGGCCTCGGCCTACGCCCGTGCTCCGATCTTGGGGGGAGGGATACACCCGGTCACCGACGCGCTCTTCCACCCTCCGCGGGCGCACGCCGCCGCGAAGCCAGCGGCGTCGGGTAACAAAACTGGGGCAACTCCGACACCGACGCTGGACCAACGAGCACTTCCCCCCGACGTCCTGCCCGTCCATTGCCTCCGCATGGAGACTTCGACCAAGAGTCAAGACCGCTGAAGGCTCTGGCCCACCCACGCTGGCCCTGGAGGCCCTGCCCTCCCATCGAACTGCAAGGCCAGGACAACGCCGCCCAACGCGGACTTGCAGGAGGTGGGCGTGCCCACCATGGCGTCAGAGCGGGCCTTTCGCAGTCAGAGGCTGGGATGCGGAAGGTGCAAAGTCGAGGCTAAAGCGTCAGTTGGACATCGTCGGTGAAAGATGGAAATCGAAGAAGGGGGGCTGGAGGTCGAGCGCTGCCGGTGGCCGTCGGGAGTTGCAGGCTGAAGTGGGAGCGCGGGAGCTGGAGGTCGCCATGTGGAGGCTCGACGACGGGCGCGTGAGGTTCGGCATGAAGGCTGGCTGGTAGGAGCTGGCGGCCGAAGCCTGGACAGCGGGAGTCGGGAGGCGGAGCGCAAAAGTCGGAGAGCGGGAGCTGCAGGTCGGCACGTGGAAGCTGGAAGCTGGTCGGGCGAGGGTTGACAGACAGCTGCCGCGGGCGGGAGCTGGAAGTCGAGAGCGGGAGGCGGCCGGCGCCATGGACGCGCGCGTGCCCGAGCGGGTGTCGGCTAGCACCAGCGGGTGATCGGCGGACAAATCGCATCTGGCTGGGATGAGGAACTTCGGAACTTCCCCAATGCTGAGAGCAGCGCCCTCAGGGTACCATCGCAGGTGGTCAACGCAGCGAACCTGTACACCGTCTGCGCCGTTGTCGGTTGGAAACGGATGGCTCGGCATTGCACAGAAAGCCACAAACGCTGCTGCAGGCATGTACATGGACATCAGTTTGCCTGCCACTGCCATCGGTTTCCTGAGCAGAACATGTAGGTCGGGCACGTCCTCCGACAGGCGGATGCTGGAGGGGAAATGCAAAAAGCTGCAGACAAAGACTCAACCATAGCCACACATTGTCAAAGAAATCGTCCCTGGAATACATCCCCAGGCCGAAAGTTTTTTCCTCTTGGACTAAAAATATGAAAACATCAATGGATCCAATTGGATCCGTTTTTCAGGAGAGTTTCGTGGATCCTATTTTTGTGCTGCGCGGATCCAATTTCCTGTGTGTGAGAAAAACGATGGATTCATTCATTTCCCGGGAATAAATATACAATAATAATAATAATCATAATCATCATAATAATAATAATAATGATAATATTAATAATAATAATAATAATAATAATAAATAAAAATAATAATAATAATAATAATAATAATAATAATAATAATAATAATAATAATGATAATAATGATAATAATGATATAAATAATAATCATAATAATAATATTAATAATAAACAATAATAATAATCATAATAATAATAATCGTAATAATAATAATAATCATAATAAAAATCATATTAATAATCATAATAATAATAATATTAATAATAATAATAATAATAATAATAATAATAAACATTCGGGACCCATGGGAAATGGGATCCGCAGAGCACCGCAACTGAAGCATCATGCTATCCACGGAGCTGCGGAGCTGCAGACCAATGCTATGATTCTACGGGGGAAGGGGGTCTTCCCAGGACGCAGAGGGGAAGGATGAGGGAAGAGGCAAGAGGAGTTGGGAGGAAAACAGAGGGGATCGGCGCGTAGTTTCCGACATGTGGGGCTCAAGAGGAAAATCGTTCGGCCTGCGTAAGTATCTCCTGACTGTCTGGGAATCTCCCCCCTGCAGAAGGACACGCCCGACACAGCAGAACGCACCTCTCCGCGGGAGGGGGCGGGGTCGGCAGGCGCGCCCGCGCAGGCCGAGAGAGGCTCCGCGCAGTGGGCGGGGGGGGGTTGTCGGCAGCGGCGGAACGAGGAGGAGGAGGAGGAGGAGGAGGAGGGAGAGAGGAGGGAGGGAGGAGGAGGAGGAGGAGGAGAGAGAGAGGAGGAGGAGGAGGAGGAGGAGGAGGAGGAGGAGGAGGAGGAGGAGGAGGAGGAGGAGGAGGAGGAGGTAGGAGGAGGGAGGAGAGGAGGAGGAGGAGGAGGAGGAGGAGGAGGAGGAGGAGGAGGAGGAGAAGGAGGAGGAGGAGGAGGAGGAGGAGGAGCAGGAGGGAGGGAGGGAGGGAGGAGGAGGGAGGAGGAGCGGACACCGTTTTGTTTCTCGTGAGGCTTGAGTCGGCGTGATTACCGGAAATATCCTGTCTCTAACCTGTCGGTCCACAGTCACACCGATGATAAAACATACTGCATCAGTACTGTATACCAGTCGTCTGAGTTATGTTCTTCCGCTTGGACAAGGAGACATTTGACCCACTCGTGGAGGCTGCCCATGGTCATCACCATCGCGGCAGGGCATGGCGAGCGGAATCGCCGTCATCGTGGCGACTGGCCTCCGCCATCGTCAGCTTCGTCATCATCACTGCCGCGGCACGAAGTTCACATGTCAACACAAATCCGTGCACACACCGCCCTCTTCGCCGCTACCCCTCCCCGCACACTGGTGCCAGGCATCACGGTGCACGGGGAGCGGACGTCGCTCAGCACGTGGACACAATCAAACCACACCACTGAGGCACGATTACCATCAAGGAAAAAGCAAGCTTCAAAGGCAAGCGCATACGAAAATATGCCGCACAACGATTGCGACCAACAGGGGCGCGTGGACAGGCCACGCCCAAAGCGCGCTATCCAGAGCAACTAGGAGACACCATGGCACCGAACACAAGGAGGAAGAGGAACAGAAGGAGAAGAAAGAGGGCACGCGCATTTCCTGCCAGCGCTGGCGGTCCGACTGCGGCTGGGCCCCCCGCCAGACGCCAGCGCCACTTACCTCCGCGCCAGGGCGGACGGAAAGCACTGCAGTCAACTTAGGCTCCGCGCCGGCGCTGTGCCTTTGATGCCACGTTGGCGACGGAACGATCGCGCGCCACAGCGGGGTCCGGGCTTGGCTCGCGCGATGGCGGCGCGCCCGCGGCGCTACGTGGGCGGCCACACACGCATAGCAAGGCAGCCACCGCCTGGGACCGGCTGTGGTCGCGCCGCCGATCAGCGGCCGCCCGCCTCGACGTGGCCTTTACAGACCTAGCCCGGTTGCGACGGGCGCCGCCCTCGGCGCGGGCACGGCAACAGGCCAGGGCCGCGACATCCGGACGGCGCTGCCGCGGCTGCCGCGGAGGAGCACAAGTAGAGGCTGGGCCGTCGCGCTGGAGGCCCTGGGCTGCGTTGGGACAGAAGCGCGGGCGCTGCTTGTCGCCTCGGCGCGCGGCGACTGCGACGCGCCGGCGACGGCCGGCCAGAGTCTGGCGGTGGCGCTGCGGAGAAACAACGCCGAGGCGTACCTCGCGGCGTGCTTCGCCGCGCGCGGCACGCTCCGACGCTGCGCCACCTGCGCTGAGCCTGCAGCCCGCCGCGCTAGGCGCGCGCCCAGGCGGCCGCCGAGGGCGCTGATTGAGATTGGCGCGG